GTAGAAACACTAACTAAAGTTTCTATAATTTCCTAGGATTTCATTACACAAGGTCAAACAATCAAACTTCTATGCGTTAAAATAATAATAATAACATCTTTATTCTGGACAGTATTTAAAAGATTTAAAGAAATATCAGTAGAGTTTATTGCAAGATGTTTTCCCTTCGTATACTATCATCAGGTAAAATATTAGTTGACAGTTAATCCTGCCTAGTTTATTCGCTCTCTTGTTTTCTAGCTGGCCTCAAGTCTGGGGAAAGAGGGAGGGTTGGGCGTGGGGCTATCTACCCTACAACGCGAAATCAATGAAACTGCTAAAGAAATTTCAACACACAAAAAAATTATTGGAAATAAATAAAAATTTAGAAAACAAACATATTCATCGCTGTATTTGGAGAGGCAAAGTGACACGGTGGGCTGTCTCATGAAAGCCTTCGTGAAGCCAGTCAGCCAACCATTTTGTCTTCTCTCGATGAAAGCAAGAATACGAATGGTCACCCAGACGACAACCACAAGCACACTGAGGGAGTGAGTGGCTACAATGATGTCACCAGTGGCAGCCATAGCCGTAAAGCAGTTGGAACCAATTTTCTCCTTAGGATGATGACAGGGAAGAAGGTTACAATTATCCAATGCTACAAACAACGCAGAACAAGCGAAAAAGGAAGATTTCCACAAACAACTACAGACAGCAATGGACAACATACCGAGGGGCGACATCAAAATCCTAACAGGCGATATGGATGTAAGACAAAGTTGGAGAAGACAATATAGGAATCGAACTCACCATGGGTTGAGATGCTTTCGCCTGATGAAATCAATGAGAACGAGTAATTATTCACAGACTTCTCCACTTTCAGTGATCTGGTAATCGGAGGCAGCGTGTACAAGCACAAAGATATACACAAAACAACATGGATTTCGTCCGATGGGCGCACTACAAAACGGAAAGATATTACCTGGGTGCTGATCAAGTAGTTACAGACGCAACCAGTCTGCCGGAAACAAAGTTGAGAAGGGGAGCAGATGTTGGCTCAAACCATCATCTAGTTCAAAGAACCTTCAAGGTGAAGTTAAAATCATTCAAAACAACTGGAGATGGGCCACTGTAATTCAAGTTCAACATTCAGAAACTGAAGTACAAAACTAAAAGGGATACCTACACTACAGATCAGATCAGAGCAATACGGAGAAACACTACGTGATATTACCGAGGAAACCTGCATGGAAGGACATTGGAACTAACTCTCTGAAGTTGATGTTCAAGGAAACGTGCACAACTGTTCTAGGAAGGACGGAGAGACAATAAAAGAAATGCCTCTCAGTGGATAACTGAAAGCTATTCGAGGAGAGGAAATTAGGATGGTGAGAGAGAAGATGACTCAATGCAAAAGATGGACAAAAGTAGAAAAAACTGAGTTCAATGTACACTGCACTGAAAAAAGACAGAAGTGAAGAAGAGTGCTGGGAAGGACAAAATACAATTCTATGACACACTGGCCGGTGACTGGAGCAGAGCAGGCAGGCAGGGTGCAGGCAAAAGAGATCTGGGAACGTTGTATCAGATAACCAGGTCAATCCGTATCCGGGAAGAGATCAACCCAGATTTTGAGACCAGTAAACGATTTTCAGACGAACCTGATTACCAAGGAGGAGAAGCAAATAAAACAATGGGCTGATCACTTCAAAGGACTCTTGAATCGACCACCAATTGCAACTAATCCAGAAATACTACCAACAGCAGGTATAGAACTGCCTGCCAGTGGACACTAATCCTACAGCGAAAAGATTCTTCAATGCAATCAAGCTACTGAAGGCCAACCCGGAAGGTAGCAGGACCAGGTGGAATTCCCCCTCGAAGCACTGAAAACGGACCCAGACTGCAGAGCATATGCTGATGCCATTACTGCAAAATGTTTGGAATGAAGGAAAGGTGCATAGCGATTGAAAGAAAGGCTGACTATCTTGCCAAACTAACAAAGAATGGCGACTTACGCGTCTGCCAGAACTAGAGTGGAATCATGCTCTTGTCCACGCCAAGCAAAATACTAAGTTGCATTATCCTGGAGAGAATGGGAAATGTACTAGATGAAGAACGCCGCCCCACAAACAAGAACAAGCTGGATTTAGGAAAGGCAAAATATGTGCTGATCAAATCGTAACTCTACGCATCGTCATCACATAAGAAAGCATAGAATGGCAGTCAAACTTCTCTCTGTTTCAATTTCATCGACACCCAGAAAGCCTTCGACAGACAGCGTTGACCAAGAAGTAATTTGGAATCTGCTTCAACACCGTGTGACGCAGTGCCTAAGTCTTTATCAAGCTCACTTGATAGTTGGCTATGTGACAATACCAAGTGTCAGGTGACCCACAACGGAAAACTCAGCGAGGCGTTGGAAGTGCATGCAGGAGTGGGACAAAGCTTTGTGTCTGCTATCACCGATGATTTTCTTAATTGCAGTGGACTGGATTATGTGGAACACCATGCATGGGGAGTGGGAGTGTAGGGATACGTTAGACCACCGGTAAGAAGACTCCAGAAGATCTGGACTTAGACTTTGGATAATTTATGTTTACTGTCACACAAACTCAAAGACTTGCAGGCGAAAACTAACAAACTGGCTGAGAAAGTAGGCACTGAAGACAGGACCGCAGGCGAACATAGAGAAAAAGGAAGCGATGAAGATAAACAACCAACCAACAGCGACAACAACCAGCACCAGTCACCATCAACGGGAGAGATTTGATATATGTTTACTTCCTTCACTTATCCAGTCAGGAAGCATGGCTTCAACTACAGACAGCCGCAACGGATGAAGATGTCAAAGTCAGCCAGAATCAGAAATGCCAGGTACTACTTCAGCAGTCTGAAATCAGTTTGGGAATCTTCTACACACAGTTAGCGTTGAGAAGAAGATTCGGATTTTCAATACAAATGTGAAGTCAGTCAGCCACTTTTTCTGTCCGGGTCGGAACCTTGCACTGCGTGTGACAAAAAGGACTTCCAGCAAGCTACAGACTTGTATCAATAGCTGTCTTTGCTGGCCGCATGCTAAAGATCAAATGGCCTGCCAGAAAAAAATTGGCGACAAGATTCTTCGTTTGAGAATAAACCAAACAACAGCATATCGCTCAACAAATATGTAGGAGAAAAAGGAGATTGATCGGCATACGCTGAGAATGCCATTGAATGACATCATGCAGCAGGCCATTGCTCGAGTAGAATCTGGATGGGAAGTGCAACTGCGTCGTTGGTTCGAGGGTGACATGGAGAAGATCGTGTGGGGGGGGAGGATATGAGAGACCATGGGCAGTCTTGGACCCAGCTGAAGAGGACTGCAGAAAATAGAACAAAGTGGAGAAGTGTTGTTGAAGCCGTATGTTCCACTTGGAACCCAAGGGAATAATAAAAAATAGTGTAATAAATACTTCATATGATACAGTGTTCTCTGAGGTGAAGCACAATCCATTCCATTATGAAATGTGTGTTTTGTCTCCTTCAAAAAATCCACGATAACTAGTTGAAAGCTAATAATAAGATGTCCAGAAGTATATTTTGAAACACATGGACATAAGTGAAGGACAGTGACCTCATGTATTGGAACACGTTGCCACCCACAGTCAGGCCTTTCCTGGAATTTAGTAGGAGCTTTCGAATCAGAAGCTTGTAAACATTTTAAATACACACAATTGTATATCATACCATCAGAGATCATATCTTTATCAGTTAAGAAAAACCGAACGAAAGAAAATATATGCAATAAAGAGATGGAAGCTTTTCGGCTGCCCAAGCTTTAAGTAGGCCGCATGATAATGCATTGTAGCATAATAAATACATTTTAAAGTAAAAAATCCAGCTGTAATTAAGAAGGCAAGTTAGACAATAATAAAGTCGTAATGTTCTTCCATTCGAATCGATTGTTCAGTGGTAGCATAATGGTCAACTACGCGTGTCATCTAGGCTCCATTTCTGGCCATCGTGCTGCGATACATAGTCCAGCCGGCAATACGTCCGGTTTGGAGGGAGCGTTGAGTAGGAGACTAGCAGCCCCACTGCCTTCTAATCGAATATTGTGTAATTTGTCCCATAGCCAATAAATGCTCGTGTTTTCCCATGTTACTGTTTTTTCTCTCGCTGAATCTCTTGTTTCTCTCATTCCTCTACCTCTGTGTTAGATATAAGGTGTGGCAACTTGAACTCCTACACTTCTTTGTAAAATCCTATGTTGAAAGGCAGTCAGTCAGTGCGGTTTTGATAAAGATTCAGATGGTTAAATAAGATTTCGTCAGGTAAAGTTTGTGATAACATTACAGAATATTGCAGCGTTTTGCATATTTCATAACACTCCTATTGTCTTTTGCACAGTTGCATTAATATATTTGGTTCTTAGTAGAACATGGGGCCTACAGAAGCACCTGTCCGTTTCATGCCTTTTCTGTGTTCTTCTTCACCTGGCTGACCACTTTTCAACCTTCATTTCTTCTTCTCGACATGATCTTCTGCATGTCACTCTTGGATACCCACCTTATTGCTTCCCATTTGAATGCCATTTCAAGACCTAGGGCCATAACGTCAATTGAAAGTCTCTCTAGCATTTGTGCATAGTAAAAAAGTTACATGTAATTGACTAACTTAAATATCTAATCTGAAAAGCAGCTATGTTTAAATCTAGTACATGCATGCCAAATTTTTCGTTCTTTTACACTAAAGTCCTACTTCATTGAGTGAACTGAATTGTTTTTTTGTCAATTACTGGGACAAATTACACAATATTCGATTAGAAGGCAGTTTGCTATCCAGGAAACGTGTCATGACTTTATCGACAATTTCACACTTAATTCAGAGTTAAAGTCAAATAAAGAAGTAATGAAAATAAATACAAATAATTGATTTAAAAGCTGTTCAATATTATTTCATTTGTCACGATTACCTAAGTGGGATAAAGGTTCAGTATAAATAGACTACGGTGGATAGCTTAAACGTGCAGAGAGAAAGTGTATTCATCGGTAACAATGAAGGTAAAGCAGATTACTGTTTACTAGAAATTACTTGAAATGTATTCTATTCATTTTCAGTTTCTGTTGATTACTTGTCTATTCTACGCCTTCATATACCTTGGGATACCTGTCGCAGAAGGTAAGCAAAAGCTTTTTACCGTATACCTATCATCTCAATTATCGTACATTTAAACATATGTTTATGTCATCCGTTTATAAAAACATATTTATATAAGAATCATCATCAGTACTTTGTTTTGAAGGGAAATTAGTGCCTCATAGAAAATGCATGGCATTCAGAAGAAGAAATTCCAAATAGTAAACAAATGTGACTTGCCCTATTCAGGTAGGTAGTTGCCTGGGGTTCTAGTGAGAAGTCGTGACCAGTAGGGTGCAGCAGGTCGGGCGTGAGGACAAATACTCGCCGAAGACATTGGCTAGGGGTCGCGCTATGTCGTGAATTGGCAGAAGTTAGAATGCATGGACCATTGGATCGGGTCCCAGTGGCTTAATGGTATACGAGCTCGCCTTGTAACCAGAAGGTCATGGGTTCGAATCCCGGTGGGTGTGTACTGATGAAGAGTCTCAAACTAGGACGAAACAGCTGTTCAGTACTCCCAGGTTTTCCAATGGTTCTCTAACTAATGTCAGCTCATGATGAAAATCCTGTAACCAATCAAATCCCTACAAACCAACACTTAAATGTCATTTCTATTTTGCTGTATGTTCTGATTTCTCAGATAAAAGACAACGTGGAGGAATTCTAAAAGTAGCTAAAACTGTCTATGTCAGTGTAGCAGCACTCATAAATTTCAAAGTCTGAGTAATACATACGATCTACACATTTATGGATACACTTCGGTGCCATTTATTCCTAGAGTTGTAGTCAATTTTCATCTATGCACTAAGAGTTACTTGGCAAAAGCAGAAACCTTGTTTCCGTGCCTGCTAAGGGTTTTTAAGTTTTGAAAAGACTACCTGTATTTCGTGTGTGTGTGTGTGTGATAAATTTACCTTCTTTTAGCTAAGTCATATACCTTTTGAGGTCTAATGACCAGCATAAAAACATTAGTACTACTCGACCATTTTGTAATGCAGTGCATCGTATGAGTATTTCGTTATTTACCTGAATTTATGCTCCACTGTGCGTCGGTGGCACAGTGGTTAGGACTCTCGCCGACCATGCACATGGTCCGGGGTTCGATCCCCTGCCGGCGCACACCCGATATCTATGGTCGGCCTGAATTTGGGCTACCGATATCCATGCTGAAAATTCCACACTTGTACTGAAAATACGGTGTGGAATCAAGCTGTAAATAAAAAATAAAAAAAATCAAATCAGAATAATTCCTTACGAAACAGAAATCTGAATTAGATAAGGGAAGTATTTAGTAATCATTCACATTTTCCAAATATCACGTAGAATGGTCTGATTAGGTAACAGAATCTGAGACAGAGCCACCTCATTATGATATAAAGGGAAGATAAAATAATGTTTAAAGTGCAAATTTCGTTAGTTTTCCATACTATATAACCAATGTGATCTCCATTCAAATTCTTTTGTTTACCATGAGTATTCAAGCTGAGACATTTTGCAGTTACTACGAAAGATAATGCTTATAGAATAACATCAAAACTTGACCAGATGGAATACAAATTATAATAAAATTATCGAAAATAAAAAGACAGCAGACATATATGGACTGCTGAGACTGCTTTCAGCTACATCAGCTTGTCTCCAGCCAGTGACTTTCAGGGCCATACGCCAAGTTATGTTTTCTCAAATAAAACGACTAGTCAGCTAGTGACCGTCAGAGATTCTCCCTTATATTTCGCAGCAATCCCTTTTTTAATTCATGAAGAATCTCCATTCGAAGAAATTTAATGTGAACACGCACAAAATAACAATATATATTTGCGATTGCCAGCGATACTCAAAATTTTGTGGCGAAGTTTTCCATTAATAATCACGGATGACTTTTTCAGTTATCCAGAATCCCACAGAGGAATGATTAACAACGTTTATATTCACATCTTACACATTTTCTCCGAGTCTGTTTGTATGCAATAAAAGATTTTACAATTATAATACCAATGGGTAGTTTTAATTCTTCATGAATACATGAATAAGTTTCACTCACTGCAAAATTATTATACCATCATATAGGTGAAGCTCCAAAAGTGAGAAAGAATGCAACACACACATTCACAGGTGAGCTTGTATAATTGATATTTTTCACTGATTAGACTGGAGTGGATGGCAAACAGTAAAGGAGTACAATGTTTCAGAATCTGGAGGAAAAAGAGAGAAGAAGTTTGCATTCACTCTACCACCAGGTAAATGAAATAAAACAATAATTTTTAAATTTTTATTTTTTATTCACCACTTACTAACAAACTGCATGAGTAGTTGAACTGTCTACTGAAAATTATGCTTGTAACATGCTTCAGGTATTTGGTCTAAGTTAAATAGTTTGACAGATTAGATTACGATAAGCTCAATGTTGGCAGGCTTTGTGTCAAGCACTTTACTGTTAATTTAGTATGCTTGTATCTATAGGCAAATCTTTCAATGCTTGTAAACTGCTTTATACTGATTGATAATTAAAATTTTTATCATTAATCATTTGTGTTTCGGGTGGAGCATTGGGCTTTATTACCATTTGTCTATCTCATCCTATTCCTTAGCCTGACATTTTCCACTCCATGCAATCCTGAGATGCACGAAAAACTGACAGTTTCTCGTTGGAATTCCACTGGAGCGTATGCATGACGCTTGATGTTATTTAACGATATCTGCAGCATGTGTCCTATCCAACTCCATCTCCTTAGGCACATTTAATGGGTATCTTATAGCACACTAACAATATACTTCCATTAGGTAACTAGTCTCACATCAAAGCTTACCAATACACTTGATCATTACTTCCTCAATCCACCTTAAAGCTTATCCTGGTTAATCAGTAGGTATCAATTACAATACAAATACAACTGCAAATTTTTAGAGAAGGGACAAAATTAGTATTAAAAAAATAAAACTTTCACATTTACTCTCATTAAAAGTCTTTCTTCTTTATTATTCTAGGAGACGGATGGGAAGTTATGACAGAGTTCAAAACAGATGAAATTGTTATACCACGTAGTTATAAGGCCCCTAAACGTCCTGCTAAAAAGGGTAATTTGTTTGAGCTTCTTTTGATTTAAATGCATATATATATACTTACCTATTTTTCGAAATGTTTATCTCAAAGAAATGAAAAACCAGGGAGTACTTGATCATATTCTTTTATTTTATGAAATCACTCAGTGTCACATGCTCACAATTCTGAGAGGGATATACTGTGTCATCCACTGTATGTCATCCACTTTTAATCTGTTCGGCATCCAATGACAGACTGTTTCAAAACTCTCAGCCGTTCACTTTAGAAATCATTACCTGCGACGATTGATCTAATAAACTACTGTTGTATATCAGTAGTAAACTCCGGGCATCAGAATGACTTACTCATTCCATTCATATTTCGGTCCCAAATGTTAAAGATAATTCTCCCTCTTTACGGAAAATATTTCCGGAACAGTATTGTCAGTGGCCTGATGGATGAATAAATTTTCTATCTGTGGTTCGTTTAATCAGTCTACTTTGTGACTGACTGACTACAGTCTGGCCGACGTAGAAATATCATCCTTGACAGTCACACTGTATCTAAGTAAGATTTCAGGATCTTGTTAGCCATTCCAAATAACAACAAGATGTTATGTCATGATGTACCGTTCATTTTGGTATCATAAACATCGTGTAGAACAATAGCTGATTGTAAGCCTGGAAAAGATATAGCGTTCAGTGTGGGGTTGGCAACTTCAGCGGCCTTGAAAGTGAAACAATCTCAGCTGACAGTTTCATGCTTGGAGCTTTGTGTTCTTTTTGTTTTTCATCATATCCTACAGTTCAAACAAAGCATATGCCTTTTCAGAAAGGTATAAACATAGTCAACTAAATAAGAATTTTCCGAAATTCTAATAAGCTTTTAGTCAGATAGCACTTAAATATGGAGAATCATATAAAATATAAGTTTCTATGCCAGTTGTATATATTTATGTATATATATATCTATTTTTCCTTATGCTACTGGGTATCTATAACAGCTCAGAAGCCCAAACCGAAATCACGTAAGTCTTTCAAACACTTTTGACTTTGACTTTATTTGTATGAGAATTTCACTGAAACTAGAGCCGCTGTCATTCTAATATAATTCGATTGATCCACATTACTTTACGGTTCGGAAGTGTTGGTTTTCAGAGATCTGATTGATTTCAAGTTACGTCACGAGTCGACATCATTAAGCGAACCATTGCAAACCAGGGAGTTTGAGAAATCAGTTCCACTGCCGTCTGAGTCTCTTCAGCACTTTGCAGCTATAACTCCAGCAGTTCACTTGAGAAACTGATAGAGGTTAGAATTCATTGGCCTCTGGATACTATCCTAGGGGCTAAATGGCCCTCAGATTCGCCTTACAACCTAACAATCATGGGTCCGATCTCTAACTGAGGTGAATCGTCTCAAACTAGGATAAAACGCCTTTCTAGTGGATTTTGGTTTCTAGTGGTTCTCTAATCTATTTCACTTCGACAACTAGCACTATAATTCACTCTAATTCACGTTGATGGAATATTAAAACCGGGAAAAATGTTTTACCTGGCAGTTTCAAGGGAAGTGTTTCTCTCCTTAACTCAGTGTGATTGGAGCGATTTAAATAGTGTCAACATCTCACCCATTACAGGAGAAACCAAAAACTTTTCTTACAACACCAATAAAACTATGAATATCTACTTTAAAACCTCTAAGTAAGTGGCTGTCTCAAGTTAGAACAATTCCCTTTAATTCTTACCTGTTTAATGTACTAATATAAAATGCATTAGTGGAATTCGAAGCCATATAATTAACATCTTCATATCTGTTTTCAAAACGTTATAGAATTTCATTAGCCAAGATGTTCAACATTCATTAAAATATTCATTTCACAGTCAATTTCTGCAAATATGAGGTTAATTTCTGAGTAAAATATGTTTTCCCATTATGAGTTTTGTGAGAATCTGCATCAATATAATTCTAGTTATTAGTTGCAGAGACTATTGGAAAGCAGGGAACACTGCACAGTTGTTTATTCTTATCCTGGTACTCCTCATCGGTGCGCATCGACAACCTTACCATGGAAAAAATCCAGTACATTCATAATCTAAATATTAATCTCATGCCCATTGATGTCTACTCGATAGATTTCTTAAAACTGTACTGAGACCTCGTGACCAATACTGTTCCCCATATACGCGTGAAGTGAATGGTTGTCGAAGGTAATGGTGAGGGTAGTGATAAATCCCCGACGTGGGAAACTAAGAATTCAAGGGGTGTTCAATCCCATTCTAACCTTCTGGATGGTCAACGAAGTTGACCTCGGCAAACCTGAAACTCCCGGATCGCTGGTACGCACTGATGAAGAGTTCTAACTGTTCGATGCCTCCTGGTTTCCAGTGAGATTTTTAACTGATGTCACTTCGTGAAGAAATCCAACAAGTGAAATCAAAAACATTTTTGTACATAATTTAAATCCAGATACTTAAGAAGAAGAATTTAACGCCTCATTGTTTATCCACTAAATATCAGGTGGTTCAGAAGTTGATGAAGACAAATCTAAAGCAGAAGTTCATGTGGTTAGAAGAATCAGAGTGAAAAAGAATAAACCACGTAAGTATTTCAGTGGAAAAACTACGTTTACATTGAAATTTTGTCAATTTATGTCAACAACTCAGAACCAACTAAAATTTGAACGTTTTACCTGGAGTTAAATTCAGTTAGATGTAATCAAAAGCCACATACACATTCACAATTTGAATTTATTTTCATTCTTTTCTGTTTCAGGGCGACTATAGGACTCAAATCTTGAGCTCTGAAATTTCATTTGCAGTAGTGTTCTTTTTATACAGGATGGGATAGCTAACCTTACACCGAACCTTCTCTCTTTACTTAGCTTCGTACCAGCCAAGCAAAGTTTAAGAGTGTGTCAGTTGGGATTTGATCCTGGAAAACATGTGTAGTTGGCGAGCATTCCACTGGTGAACCACCGATGTACATCTATTCGAATACATCAGTTCTGATAAGACTGACGTAGAATTTACGTGTATACACCTGTACTTCCTCTGTGATATTAATTATAGTATATAGAATCTGATAGAATAATTTCTGCAGAAAAAATCATTCGAAGAGGAATATTTTCGTCATTCTAAAGCGACAAGATTGTCTAAGGATGAAGTACACCATATCCTCTACATCAATAAAGCGAATCAAATGGATGCAAAGGTGGGCGTGTACTGATGAAGAGTCCCAAACTAGGACGAAACAGCTGTCCAGTACTCCCAGGTTTTCCAGTGGTTCTCTAACTGATGTCAGCTCATGATGAAATCCTCCATGCAATTATACATACGTTCAGATTTACTCTGCTTATCATCGTGTTTAAATTTTTGAAACATAATTATAATTATTTAATTCAATTTTAGATTTTCCCGTCGATTGTTTGGAACGAAGTTCTCACTCTCAGGTTGACATGTCGAGCACTTCCTTCCAATGAGTCTACGGGAAAATCTAAAATTCATTTAAGTAATTAATATGATTCATTGTATAAGAGATGGCTCTCGTGGCTCAAGTGGTTCAGTGGATAACACTTTGGCGTTTGAAACTATGGGCAGTGGGTTCAATCACTGTGGAATGCAGGCACATCCAGATGACGAGTCCAAAATAGGACGAAATGCGCGTCCTGGATTCCACTGCTCTCCATCATCCACAAATTAACCGATAAAGTATAATTAATTTGAAAAATATATGTGCATTCTTAGCCCAAAAAATGATGAATACATTTCTAAAATTAAAATATAATGTCCTATATTATACTTATGCTCAAAAACTATGAACCAGAAAGTAAGCTAATGAAACGAAAATGTGATGATCTGGATCACATCATTATAACAACACTAATTGTGTGTAGAAAAATTCAATTCCTGTTTTGTTTGTTAACCTCACACAGTAACACATCGCATATTAGTAAGGCTTTCAAAAATAATTAATCCTGAGTAAAGCCTAGTAACACCAGTGAATGCGATACAAGGTGAAGTGCCACCTCTAACAATCAAGTTGTTTGCGTGAAGATGGAGTTGTAAGTGGACATTAAGTCTTAAAAAAATGCCTATATATTACTGGTTTATATGTAGAACAATTCTGATATTTTTACGTCAAAAGTAGGAATAAATTAACTATCCAGAAAAGACATCCAGGAGTTGTTAGTACTGCTAGATACTCAGTAGGAGCATTTAATTCACCAAAACAATAAACATGAAAACCTTAAAAAACCTTTTTCTATCACTTTTAATTTCCAGAAGGTAAACCAGAGGAACCAAAGGAGGAGGCACCAAAAAAGAAAAAAGCACAAAAGGAACCTCCAGCGGACGAGGATGGTGAAGAAGGTACACTGTAAACTACCAAAGAATTTCAAATTGAATAAAAGTTTAATCCTATTCAGAGTTAGGCATTCTCATTTTTATTATTTGATTCCTTCGCGTTTTCCGAATGAAACATCAGACTGTTAGCTCGGGCTTTAAAGTTTGGGTAACAGTGGGGTTTAGTTTTATACTCAGTGAGCCTGCCAGCCTCATATTCCACCTTTCCCTTTATCAGGCTTAATACCAGTTAACTGAGGCTTAGGAGTGCATTGGTGGCCTGAGGTGAAAACCCGTACGACGCGAGTTGCTGACAGGTATCCTACCAGTAAACCACAAACGTACAACATTTACGCATCGGTTATGCTTAATTTTCATAACATTTACGATGAACTAATATAAGAAGAAAAGGTGTCGAACTTCTAATTAAAAGCAAACTCACACTGGCTTTTGTTAATTCTGTTTATCGGTCTAAAATGTGATAGAATAAATGAAGTGGAGTGCAATGTCAATAGGATGGATAAACCCAACCAGGACAATTCGTGTACTTATAAGCTGATGTCAGTAGGTGCTATGATCATTTCTTCTGTATCGTGTCGAAATGTTTGCTCAGTTAAAGGTCTGCAAAAATATTCCGTTTCTCAAATTTTTCAGGATTTATAAAACACAAAACAATGGATGAATGTTTCAAAATGCGCGTATTTTTAAGTTACTATTGATGTCTTGTGTTACGAGTGAAAAATATAGGGATTCACCAGTAAATTTCTGTTTCACTCGGATCTTCTTTATCACTTTTGATTAGATACACAGCTGTCTACAAGTTTTTATTGCATCCACATACCGTTCCATCCATGTCACCCTAAGATGCCTAGCACATCACTTTCTATTCAGCAATATCATGACAGATCACAGAAGTTCTACTTATTCTGCAAATTTCAGTTTTACGCATATCTGAACATTTCTTAAGGGTATCAGAGTTAGTGATTTAACTACATTCAAGAAATTGGCTTCAACGTGTAAATACGTATAGGCGCGAAAATCTAATACGATTCTATTTTGAACACTGAGTTATAGAGGAGTTTGAAATATGAGTATACAGCTGAAATTACAGAATTAGAAAAACGGTTAAGGTATTAGGCTTGGTAGAACTCGGATACTCAAATGCAGATACTACAGTCGTCACTTGTGCCGAAGCAGGCAGAATAGTATTCAAGTTTAGTAAACACCTGGTTGAGGCTCAAATATTTCCTCAATTTTTGAAGCACGTCACTGTGTGGTGCATAAATCTGGCACAATCTCTGCTTTGCTACAACTTTACCGTTACTTCTACGCATTCTGACGAAGATGTTGTCACAATTTATAGATTTATTAATATTTGGGGACAATTTAATGATATTATATTTTCAGGTGGTGATTGGGAAACTGTACAAGAATCTGAAAGACAAATGCGTATTGGAAGAAGGAAGAAAGGTGGTTAATTTTAGCTAAATATTTTAATCATTATACACACTGTTATTTTATACAACTGTTTAAAGAGAATACAATCTCCATATTTCTCACTGTGCGTTTCAGTAATCTGTCAGGTTTTACTCTGCGTTGGGTGTTTACCACAGCGACAGATAGAATTATACGTGTATATCATTGTTTTCTGTTTGATTTAAAGACTTCGTGTTGTTGTATATCAGATGCCTGAACATACAACTGGACTATAACTGACTCAGTTCCCATCTACTAGTTATTTCATTGTAGAGGCGGCCAACTACAGGAATAAGAACATTTTCGATTGGTAACGGGATGATAACTAATCTCGAGCCAAAATATCTTTTAGAGTCCTACATGAGATCAGTCATGAGCCTGAATAGCTCAATGGTAACATCTCTGATTGTAGTACTCGGTAACCAGGGTTTGAATTTCAGAAGGAACATGCGTCCGTTTAAGATTCTACATATGCCTCGCAGACGACAGGCAATAGGCACGAAACCTAGGTCAAGCAAGGCTTCCTGCCGATCGCCTCCAAACATCTACAAAGAGTTCAAAATGCGCGATTATTTCTCAATAACTTAATGAATAGCACTACAGTGTATAAAACGATGAATGGCATGTGTGATACGCAGCTGAAAAAACACCATCGACTGTGGTACAGGTACATTTAGCCAGCTAGCGCAAAAGAGAATGAACTAAGCATTATGACGGATTCAGCTTATGATTATTCCCCGAAAGAAATCAAATACTAATTGCTCTGGACCAAAATGTTTTCGTTTAACCTCGTGCAAATTTTTTTAAAATCAATTAGGTGAGAAAAACTGGAAAGAATCGAGCCGTTATGAAAAGGAAATCCGTACTCGATCAAGGAAGGGAGGAGAAAATGTTGAGAAATTTGAAGAAGGTAATGCAACCTGAGAGATTTAACAATTCCATCTTATTTTACATTAGGTTTGGCTTTGAAAAGATTCTGAGGGATTTATCAAATTTAAATAAAACGGTACCATTGCCGGCTTACATTCGATTTAGCACCAGTTAAAAGTGTATACTGATGGTAGACTACATGTTTTAATCATACACATCACGGTTGGGATTCAAGTGTAGGTGGACACTTGACGGATATCCTCAAGCTGTACTGAATCATCGTGACTGGCAGGATGAAACACGTCAAGGTGAAGTGGATGGTCATCGAAGGCACTGATGACGGTAGGGATGTAGCATTGATTGACACAGTTAAAATTCACGGTTCACTAAGTCGCTATTCAAGTGGCCGAAAGATTAGCTAACTTGGTCTAGTACCTGAAGGTCCCAGGTTCGATCATTATATCGCTAACTGATTCGTATAGCATAAATAATTTTAGCACAATTCTCATTTTCAGTATGATCACAAAATGACCTCGGGTAGGGAACCGTGTGAAACCAAGGAGTACTGAACATCTGTCTAGTCCTGCTTTAGGACTATTCGGCAGTACGTACACACGATCCAGGAACTTCGGGTTACAAGATTAGTCACCGGGACGGAATCAGCTATGCCAAGAATTGTTTTTTTCTGCCAACATTATTGGTATTTGTGAACTGATGGTCTAAGATGTGGCCCTTGATGAGGTTTTGGTTGCATTTCTCAGAAGACTACCTAACTATGATGTAACATCTGACTATTACTCTCTGTTTTCCACACCCCCTCTAACTGGAGTTATTTCGGGACCAGAAGCAAAAATAGTCTAATCCCAGTGAACCAACCAACACTTGACAATTTTCATTGGAATTGAGATAAGGGATGCTTTTTACAGCTTAGAAAATTGTAAAATTTTTCCTATCAGAATTTCCATCATGTGTTTGATTTTCATATCGTGGACCTAATATCTTATTAGGCTGCGGTTATGCACAACAACTAAAGAGTCCTAATGCCGAATGAAAAGAATCATTGATAAAGTTTACCTTCCACTATTCTTCAGGCATAAATCATTCCGATATTCTGGTTATCTGCACTATTCAAATACCTACATAATTAGTATTTATATTAAAACAAGTTTCCATTTTCATTTTCCTTTTCTTTGTTGCAATCAGGTGACGCTGATCCAGAGCTTACAGATGTTGTCGAAAAAGCATTAGATAAGGAAGAAAATTAGAGAGAAACATATCGATGGGAATATACAAATTTACTAATAACTAATTTCTGAGATGTGTATTCATACCTGAAATAAATCTTTAATGGATGCTATAAAAGAAACCTCTTAATTTGTCTCTGGGATGTATTCCGATGTGCTTGATCCCTCCAGATTCAATCTCTTCTATTATTTCAAGTAAAACTGCTTTACTTGAAGTGATCTGCATTATTTTATGACTTAGTTAAGTATATTCGACTATTCACAATTTATAAGAATCTAAGTCTTATTTATTTGGTCATAACTTACCAGCTGATAAATAATTTATTTAGACCACTTTCTCTCCAAATACGGTTAATCAGAGAGGTCCGGTTAATTACAAAGTAAAGGATCACTGTGCATCGCATGTGTTTCGAGGTTTGATCTCCGGTCAACGCACTTCTCTACCTCGCTAAGTTATAAGACTGATAAAGAGGGAAGGTAGGGCATGAGGCTATCGACTCCATCCCGTAAAAATTAAACTAGTACTACCAAAACTTCAAAGCCCTAGCTTGAGGCTGTATGATCCACTGGGAATATAAAGGAATTAAAAAAGTATCACTAGTATAAAAATTACTTGAAATTATACTGAATCATTTATATGAAGGAAAATATAAGAATAAATCTGTGGAAAATGCCATAATGCGAATCCGAACTGAGGGTTTATATGGGCCAGTGGCCTATGGATTATAAACGCAGCGTTTCACCAACTTAGCTATAAGACTCGTCGTCACCCAGTGCATCAATAGCAGTGTCTGAACTGAAAGTCTTACGGCATAGTCTCATCATTAGACCTAAGAGATATGGAAACCAGTTTTAAGATGTATTCATGGAAGTATGTATCAGCCGGATTTAGAAAAAAATGTAAAAATAGCTAAAAGCAATGGAATCACAAGTATTCAAGCTAAAGCTGTAGCTGATTGGGCTAGCAAGTCCTGAACCATAGTTTAGAATTGTCATTTTGGGTAGCTCAAGGTAACGATCAGTGAAAAACTTTATCTTTTAAAAATCCCTGCATGATAAGGAAATGAAAATGATGTCATATAAAAAGATTTTTAACAATCGAAAGTAAATAGGTGAGATTTCATGCATTCAAATATGCAGTAAAGTAGTAGAATATTTACCTAAGTACATGTAATTATTTTCAAGTTAGATTTACTCAGAAGCTGATATAGGTTATAGAACTGTTGAAAACTAACTAGTAGAGAACAGCTGCTTCGTCCTGGTCTTGGACCCTTCAACCACACGAAAACTTTATTAATATATAACCATTTTAAAACCATATTCTAAGCCACCTTACACTCGTGGGATAGGACTTCTAGTCAAACTGAATCTCCTCAAATCCACATTACTCAGTTAGAAATTAATTTCTGCTAATAAAATAATATTAGATAATAAAATAGTATTAGATAACAACTACCTATTGAAATTCATTAAGCGTTATAGAAGTGTCAAAAGGACGGGTGTATTGATCCAATCAACTTCCGAAAATCTTGTTTAGATATCCTTACCGTTCAAGGGTGTTCAACAAAGTCTGATCACCAAACGAAGTCACTTGATAGAACTTACTATCCAGTAAAACTTACCTTCATGGAGAAAACGAGATCTATTTTGTCATTTAAACCCTCATAGTATCCAAACGATAGTGTGTCATTTCCCACTGGTTATACTGATTGCATATGTGTGTGGTAATATGTAGATAGGGAGAACCCATCAGTCTCTGCAGTCTATGGCTACAGAAAACGTTTCAACAGATAAAGACACGGGATGCAACTTATCCTGGAAATTGATGTCAAAAATCATCTATTGCAAAACACATCAAGGAGTTGGGTTACAAGTTTCATGTCAATAATGCCTTTAAACTCATATATGTTAAGTGTTTGGGTCACATATTTAAACTCATTGAAACCTTAGCCGCAATAAGGCAAGCCTGTTATTTTAATGTATTCAAAAACGGTCATTACTTCGAACCTGCATTAGCAATCTAATTTAGAACCAAGATTCATTTTACCTAAAAGTATTTTCACCCTTCTCTTTTTCTTAGCCCACACTCTCACGTTATCATCACACATCTTATGCGTGACTTTGATCTGTAGGCATTTTGACTCATATTCTAATCAGTTATGTTTACTGCCTTCTAATTGAAATGTGTGTGACAAGTATGTGTGTGAATAGAATGTCCGAAATGTGCTGCGCAAACACATTGTACCTTTCAAGTTAATTACGTTTTCTTATCGTTTTGTCAAGACTCACACACAAATGTCCGAATCTAATTTTCCTAATGACCTTAAGTGATACGCTTTTAAGGTTAAGCATAGAATGAAGGTATCATATTATCATTAAGTTAAGATTTTGTTTTCACATACTATAAATATCTGACTTTGCCACAAACATATTTTCCCTAAGTACCTCCTGGATTTCAAATGGCTAAGATTAATACCATAAGTTTCTTATTTGTATTCGTATTTTTATGCTCAGAATACAATCTAACAGCAAAATTATTTGCATGACTTTCAAATTTTTCATACAACGAATTATTTAGCTACACAGTAAATGATCTAAAAGGATTTGTTAAAGAGATTCAAGACACTACTGATATAAGAATAAAACTTATGCACTGTGGTAGACTGTAATTCCATTATGGGTAAATTTTTTGTTTTGATAAAGTCTCACAGTGTTATGCTGTAATATTTACTGATGATGTTTCGAGCACAATTTATTGCTCATGGTCATATCAAGGTAATCACACGACTTCCTAAATTGATTTATATAATGCCGCTGTTTTTCACTTGATATGATTGGTAGCAATATTTTCAATATTTCGGGTATGAGTGATTTTCTTTTTCCTTCAC